AGCCACCAGGAACTGCCTGAATCATCAAAGCTCTTCGAATCTTTGCCAAAGCTTCAGAAAGCTTTGAATCAATTTGGATCTTTGAATTGATCTGCTGATTCGATCCAGATTCGGAGATTCAGCCACCGAATTGGGCTGAATCTCCTCCGTATCAAATCACCACCCATAGCTTTGCACAACCCTAATAATGGTGTTGCAGCCTCTGTTCTCCATCAATTTTCACGATTTGATGAAAAAAAATCAAAGGCAGTAGTATGCCTTTAGGCCCTGCCTGCAAACCAAGCTCCTTCTATTCCTTGGAAATTTGAAAATTGCTCTCACACATTACACACATGATGTAGTTCCCTCTGGCATGTTTGCTGAACTCCTCTTTTCTTGAGTTTACTTGGTCTCCCTGCTCAACTTCCACAAACAGATCATAAAAAGCTTTGTTCTTGGTTCACCTGCCTTTTAAATGAGGGAGTTCATTACATCTTTGTAGTACAGGACTTCTGTTTAATTGGCCCTGAATATTTCTTAATGAATATACAGATGACAACTATGCAGCCAGAAAATATATAAGGTAAAGCAAAGCATCATCCTTCTGAGCCACATTTGACTGAATCTGAACCACTTTCTCCCAGATGCCTGCAGATGATGAAATCCCCTCCTGGCCTTTCCTGGAATGTGTTTATTTGATTTATATGCTGCACTTCCCAGCAAAGGCTCAGAGTAGTTTACAACAAGAAAAAAATAACAACTTTAAAAACAAAAGTGTGACAAGACAACTAAAACAGCTTGAAGAGGAACTAGAACATCAAGATAAAACAGAGATCCTTTAAACAACATTTCAACATAGCTCTGCTTGGTGAATGAGGGCTTTTTTACACGTACTCGGGGGGAGGTGGGGAATAGGCACTTTTATTAAAGTGGCTCCAAGAGCCACTCTAATTAAAGCACCCAGCACACCTAGTGTATCAGTGCCCCCATGCTTCAAAATGGTGGCAGGGGTACCTTATCTGAAGCTTGTTGAATGAGCTTTACATAAAGCACCCTGCCACCATTTTGAAGTGCATGAGATGCTGTGGATGCTTTAATTAGAGAGGCTTTATCTCTAGTCCCAGCCCCTCTTACTTTTTGCAGCCACTCTGACCCTGATCTGTACTGCTTAGGGTGACAGGCCCCACCTGGCCATCCTCACCTATTAATTGCCCTGCATAATGACTTGCTAGCCATTTCATGCTCACCACCCATCTGAGACCAACATTGGAGCCTGCATCCATTGAACCATCCACAGTCACCCCCAACCCCAGGGAGCTCCAGTCCACCTTACCATCCAGCTGTTAGGGAGGTCAGTCAGGCCCATCCACCACCCACCTTGGCAAAACTGGACTTCCGTGCACCACACACCTCTCCATCCTCCCTCCACCATGCCCTTTCAATCCAAGTGCAGTGTAGTGAACAAGCATGGTAGCAAGTGGACGAGGGAGGAGGTAGAAGGTCTCATCACCACCTAGGGCAACGTTGAAAACCAGTGACTGCTCCAGTCAAGCTACTGAAACAAGGCAGTCCATGAACAGACCACAAGGGAAAAGGCGGCCTGAGAACATGACTGGACTAGCACTGGACCCAGACACAAGCACAAGGTACAGAGGCAGCTCTTTGTGAGGACATGGGACCATAACTGCATGTCTAGAACATGCAGGGTCACTTGAGCCTACTGTGAGGAGCTGACTTGCATCTTCGCAGTCACTGACATGGTCATGTCTGAAAATACAGTGACAGGGTAGCCCATGCCACTCAGGAGAGCAACAAAGACTCTGATGTAAGCACAAAGACATGCAGCCTTCACTGATTCACTGGTCAGCACAGCAATCTGGGCAACAAGCCAGAGTGCAGACTCCTTGGCTATCTGCCCAAGTCTCACACTCTGAAATCAACTTGGACGTGGACATTGAGGACCTAGAACTCGTTCTGTCCTTTCCCTGCCCTATTCAGCATCCCAGCCAGCCCTCTCCTATAGATCAGGAGCTAAGAGACAGATATAGCTATGTATCACCATTGTTTGATTGCTAGTACATTCATGAGCTTGTCCCAGCAACTACTGATTTCTCAAAATGGCACAAATGGAAGTAGTCATGGCAGCTATCAGAGCATGCTTGCATCACCTTTTCTGCACTTAATTTCATGACACTAGGCCAGCAAGGTGATGATCACATATGAATCCATAGCAGGCAACGGCGGTAGAAGTCGTGGGTCACAGTACACAGAAGCACAAATACAGCTGAAACATGGAAGGTCAGGGGCATAAGTTGATCAGTGATGCTCATTAAAATCTTTCCAACAAAAATTTGACCATCCACAATTTGTGCACCCAGTAGGTATTTTGTTTGGCACTGGCATAGTAAGGAGAACCTAAAGATGCTTGCTAGTGCAAGGCATGCTGGGATATGTGCTCTCCCTAGCCACCTGCTGGTGGAAGAGCAGCAGTGCAGTCAGCCACTCTTTAAAGCCAATTAGAAGCATGGCTTGTGGACATGCCAGTCCCACAACTTCGCCATTCCAGGAGAGCCAGCGTCACAGAGTGGGGTCCCCAGGGGTGTCTGTGATGCCCCTGGCGGCTCCGCAAGTGTGCAAGCTCTGCCCCGAGAGCACCCTCTTGTCTCATCTGCCATGTCTTTTTGGTAAAATCAACTGGGAGGCTGCCCGCGGGCCTTCGCTCGGTCCTGGTCCACTGAATCCTGCTCAAGCTCACTGGTCTTTGAGCCCTTTGCGGGGCCTCCCTTTAATACTGTGCTGCATGGGGCATCTTGGCCTTATGGGCCAATTGCATGACTCCAACCTCCTCTTAACCCCTGTGAGGCATGGTAATACAGTTGTTATAGTCTCTGTTGGGTACTCGGCCTCTGCCCTTTTAATATAGCTAGGCCTTTTAGCCTAGACCCATTGTGTCGGGCTCAGCTTTGACGCACTAGCTCTCAATCTCCTTTTGGTATCAGACCCCTGGTTCTTGTCTGCTGCACCCCTCTGGTGCTGGGCCTTCCAGCCCTCTGAAGCTGTGCCCTTCTGGCATGGGGACTCTACTCAATCGTGTGGCCCCTCCCAGGCATTAATGAGGCCTCCTCCACCCCGGTTAACTTCATCCTGGTCCAGACAATAACACAAACATAACCCCCTTGACTATAACATAACTGTAACCAAAAGAGACCATGCTCTGCCCCTGTAAGGCGGCAAACTTCTCCCCTTGAACAACGTACCTCCTAACCCCAGGTACCTTATGGGCTCCTGGAACCTTATTGCATTTGGAGGTAGCAAAGCTTTCTCATGCAGGAACTCCTTCTCCTGGCACTTGCCAGAGTGAACCCTACCAGCCTCAGTCCTGAGCTTGTATTCCTTGGGCTCTGACTTCTTCTGGTCAGCTGACCACCTGCAGGTGCCAGCTAATTACCTTGTTAACCTGTTACTCAAGCAGCCTGCAGCTGTGGACCTCTGCATAGCCTGCCTGGCTCCTTGGCTAAGCTGCTTCTGCCCTTAAAGGACCAAGCACACCTTAGTGCCCTGAGACAGAGGTAGAACTGGTCATTGGACAAATGTCACATCTGTTTATGGTTGTAGGTATGCAGAGTCCAGGCCATTTAGAGATTCATAGGTCAAGACCAGCACCTTGAATTGTGCCCAGAAAGCTATCGGGAGGCAGTGCAGACTCTGGACGACTGGAGTAAGGTGTTCCTGGTGCCCTGTTCCCATCAGAAGGTGGGTCACTGCGTTCTGTGCCAG